CTAAGTTCCAGGGGACTATGGAACATCTCTCAAAATGTCCTGTAACTGTGGTGAGTCACCTGTCCTCTTGTTCAGGGAGGCCATGGACACCCCACCAGATGGACTTAAACCAGTGTCCAGTCTATAAAGAGGAGGGTCAACTTGGAGGACACATCTCATCCATGTTTCCAAGTGAAGCCAGATATGGTCCAGCAGGATCTTTGATTTATCTTCACATAGACAGAATTGGTAAAAGAAAGGAGCCATAGGCTCCTCCCAAGCCCATGTGACCCCTGAAGAACAGATCCTGAAATGACCTTAAGTATAAAAATAAATTGATTTATTTGGGCCAACTGTATGATCTTAAACTCCCCAAAGGAAAGTATAACCAAAGAGTAAAGTGATCAGTATATTGCTTTAAGAGTTGCAGGGATTACACTTCCCAGACACAGGCTTAAGTCCATATGAAAAGTTATTTAGACAATTATTTCTCATTGATGATTTTGTTCCTAATCAGAAAGTGCTGTTCAGACGCAAGACTTCAAATCTTGGTCTGCAATACTGTAGTGCCCACCTGCAGCTAAGGGAGACAACCAGCTATTGTTCTAAGATGATGGATAAATTTGTCCCCTCCCCCCATCTAGAAGCTTTTGAGAGGGAACTGACACTGATTCTAACCACTCCAAAAGTTATTAAAGTGCCTGAAAGCAAATCCTGACTCCATCATTCTTGAGTCCAGCCTTGGCAGACAAAAGAAAAATGAGGAGGAACCCAATAGAGGGATGCTTTGGGAAGCTCTCATCAAGAAATTCCAATGGACTCTCATATGAATGTTTGAAATTTGCCCAGTTCTGACTTTTTTCTAGTTCCCTGTCTAGAGCTTGTAATGCTAACTACTCTTGCCTTTATTTCTTCTTCACATCTCCTATTCACCACTCAAGGGTTCTCTTTTCCCCACTACAGATAAGAGTTATACAATTTGGGAGTCTTTTAGATAGACTCACTAAAGGGGTACCCCAATTGCCTCACCCTGCGTCCCCATTCAGCATAGACGAAGCCAGAGCAATCTGTGTCCTGATTCTCTATCCGCAAGTTGGGTAACCTCTTCAGAGGATGGTGCGATAAGAATAGGAGGTAGGAATTGGCAAGGCACTTAGGGTAAAACGACCCCAAAGAAAGGTAGCCAGTTTCTTGGCTAAAAGTCAAAATGTCCTTGGGCCTCTTAGCAACATACTCCTTTCCAAAGCCCAAAAATGTCAAAAGTACTTGGGAGCTCTTATCTAATCCTTAAAAGATTTTAGGGTTACCTCTTCAGAGGGGAGAATGTTAGAGTAG